CCCCCCCCCCCCCCCCCCAAAAAAAATGGAAATATTATTACATGTAGCATATACAGACACAATCTGTCCATTATTGGCAAATACATAAATTAAATATAACAGAGTGAAATGGATAACAAAATGACACAGCTCAAACAAGATTTATTGTAAAGGAGACGTACGGATGCACATCAGTATCGCCTCCAAAAGCACCCACTGCACCCTCATCGTCAGCTTTCCAGTAGGTGCTGCATTCACCATAAAAGCGATTTTTAACAGGGGAGTGACGACCACCCTCCTCCCATCCCTACCTTTGGGGGGGAGGAGGATTTATCATCAACCGTGCTGAGCAAAACACTTCATAATATCAAATCTAGTGCAAAATTAAATCCCCTGCCCCATATTTTAATGAAAAGGCTTCTATTGAGAGACAAGTCTACTTTCCTCCAAAATCACAAGTCAGAGTGTCAGACACATCTTTTGTGTAGCAAGAGAAAGGTGAACAAGACACAATTACCTGTTTGAATTGTCACAGAGTGACTCGAGGATGGCGCGCACCTTCTTCTCGCTTTTCACGGATGGTGATAAGACAACAGACTGAAAAGCATTACAATTTAATAAAATATTTAAAATAAATCATACACATGAGGAAGGCGGATATATTTTGGAAGAAAAGTGTGTAATCATCACCAGAAAGGATGGAGGCAATCCATATCTTAAAATGCTTTCAGCAAAGACACGTACAGCACAAAAGTGCATCCAAGAGCTGAAAACCTGCAGGATAACCAGAGAATGGCATACTTAATCGAGAAAGTGGAGCAAAACAAATGAAACATTTGACAAGTGACAATTTGAAAATATGACAAGCAACAACAAGAACAACTCCACTCGCAGAATAAAAGAGCGTAAGAGCAGCAAGATAAGTACATGATATCTTTGGTACAGATCCCAACACTCTTTCAATGCTTATTGAATGTATAGTTCATGACTTATAGCAACTACCTTAACATATTAAATTCCACAAAATTTAGAGAAGATTCTAGTTGTCGTGCAGTTAGATACCTCCCCGTAGCTGGCATAACACCATTGCAAAAGAGAGCTTCGGAACGTTTCTTGGTCCTGCACTAGTTTTTCCTGCTCTTGTATTCGGCTTTCTTGTGTTTCAGGATTATACTCAAAATCGCGAATCTGAACCACAAAAAGAATTAGGCACACCATGAGACAATGTCCTAGTAATCTGTTGATCAATGTTTTACCTGTGCAACACAGCATTTCCAAGATTGTTGACTAGTAGGGAAGTAACAATGATAAGTACAATATATTTGTAGAAGGAAGAGGATTTATTAGTGAGAAACTCACTTGGAAGCCTCTCTCACGTGCCTTATTCCTAAAATTGTCAGCATCACGGCTAAATAATGTTACAGTATAAAGAGCATATTCATTGTCCTCATACAGCTTCTTAGAGGATCTGGGAACCTAAAACAATTAGTTCAATGAAAAAGTAGAACTTGTAGGATGATGTACAAAACTACAAACTTCCAGAAGAAACAAAAAAGAAAATGGTCACATGCTCAGATTAAACTATACAGAGAACCAAGTCAACCAAGTTTAACGTTTTGGAGATATGAAGAGAATAGTCATCAAAATATCCATAACATGGTCACATGCTCAGATTCACAAATGCTTGAACAGAAAGGGAGTCATACCACATAGGTAGTCAGCGTCTCATAGCTAGCCGACCAATCTTTTTGTGAATACTTGGAAACAACAGCAAGGAGTGTTGTTAGGTGTTCTGATGTAATTATATCTTCAGGCTTCACCAAATTAGACAGATCACGTACTGCTAAACTGAAGAGAGGTAAACCAATTTAAATTCTTTTTTACAAGGTACAATTAGAAGTGTGTTTGTCAAAAATATAAGATATCTCTGACGATGCATCTCTTGAGAAATATCAAATTCATCTCCGGAGACGGGAATGCCTTGTATGAATAATATTTACACAGAGAGACGTTCCAACTTTATCGAACAACGAAAATGTAATGTGGTGATTCTATTATGCAATGTTATGGACTTTATATATGAAAGTATGAATCATTGCACACCTTCCTGTTTGCTTACGGTTTGTGGCATTAAGCTGGCTACGCACATTGTTGTATTCGGCAACTCGAACCTGTGATACATTGCCAACAACAATTATATGTCTGACACAACATCCAATAATGAAGCCAAATGAGAAGCTTACACTCCTTTTGTCCATTTCTTAAATCTTCCCCTTTACTATTCAAAGAGTCAAACTATACCTTCTTCCTTAATATATATATACATTTTGAATGCTATTGACTCTATTACAGTGTAATATATGTTCATACGATTCTCAATCTAATGACACAATACACACAAAGTGCCAACACCTCTGCCTCAGCTGGGGCATCTTGGGGAGTGGGCTTCCTACCACTCAAGCCAGGGGATATTTTCATTGATAAATTCATAATATAATGCAGTTGTGTCAACTCTGGTTTTGTAGACTTTTGATGTAGTTATTTTTCCTCGTTATTCAAACCATAACTCTAATTTGGGGACAGAGGCAATATTACACACATGACACTTGCAAATTCTGATAATATGTACTAGTATTCTGTAAGCATGTTTACTCCATTTTTGTAATGTTATTTTACAGAAAGTAAACTTTATTACTCCAAAAAAACATATGGTGTTTGATTGACATTTTGAATTATGGTGTTTGGTTGACGTTATTTTCAATTCAATTCATTTACATATTGGTGTGAAAGTTAAAAATATGATTTATACATCAAAAAACTACAATCTTACATACCATCCTCAAAAGGCAAATCACTAAAAAGATGTAAAACTCGTTTGATCTGGAAATAAAGATAAATCAAAAGAGAGTATCCTCTAATAGATGCCTAGTTCCACCACAATGATAGAAAATGTGATACCTGACTTCAAAATAAGCTATGCCATTATACTTCAACAAATATATTTTGGCTTGATTTCAAGAAGAAAAATAATTATACGGCAGAAATTGGGGGCTCTAAACTAAAGTATCATCATTACAAAGTAATACCTTGAGATCATCCTCAATCTTTGCAACTTGAGTGTGAATTCCATCTACAGTGTCCTTAAGAGGTGACATTGTGGGATACTTAGCATCGTCCCAAACGAACCTGGTAAAAAATGGAATTGCAGCGTTTACAAACGCAAAAAATGAATGAATTGGTAGAAACCATAAACGGAGGGTGCAGAAAGTAAGAGAAGGAGAATAAGAATAACATCAAATCTCATTCACCTAGTGAGGTAGGAGTCGACAGGAACCCCATCAACTGTGAGAGAACTGCTGGCCACACCGGAAACCCTCTCCAGCTCCTCGATCTGGCGCCGTATCTTTGAACACACCCCTTCAATGAAGCTGTTGGACTGCAAACATGTTTTCATATCGCTCATAACCATTCAGCGCTCCCACATTCATACACGAAATCCAGTACGAAATGTCAATTGAAACGACGCTAGGGATAGAACAGATGAAATTCACCTTGACAAGGTCATCGCTGAGCGCGAGGAGCGAATCCAGAGTGCCGACGCGGAGATTCGGGATGTTGAACTGCAATACCGGAAGAGATGAGTCAGATGATCACATACGGAAATCTCATCAACCAGTGTGTGTAATGGGAGGAGAAATGAGAAATACTCTGTAGAGGGGAGTGTCGAAGGAGTGCTTGGAGATGGAGTCCTGAAGGCGGCTCCACAGAGACGTGGCGGAGGAGCCTTGCTGAACGGAAAGAGACACCATCCAATATCGAGACGCCATGCCGATCCCGTTACTGATTGTATCAGTGCACAGATCGATCAGATCTCTCTTCTTCCTTAGACGACGATGCCAGTCGGTAAATTCACAGCTCAAAACCAGCAGATCGATTTCCTTTTGTGTGTAATTTTTCCTCCGTATATTTTTAAATTTTAGGAGAGTAAATTTGGATAAAAGAAAAATACTCTTTCCATCCTAAAGAATTAAAGACCAAAAATTGGAAAAAAAAATTACTTAAAATGTTAGTTTAATATAATTAGATTTGTTACGAAATATATTATTTAATAAAAAATAATGTAAAATAAAAAATTATGCATTTTAAAGCCCTAAAAAACTACAAAAAAAAAAAAGACGAAATCACTATATTATTTAATCTTTAATAAAATTAAGCAAATAAAGTGACTAAAATTTTTCCCTAAAATTGTGAAACGAGAAAATTTATTAGTTAAAATAGTCCATATAACCACCGTATGATATTTCATTTTTTTCTTAAAATTGCTAATGATCTTTAATCTATCAGTCCTGTTACTCCTCCCCCACGCTCCCACCTGGCCCGAAGTCTAAAGCGGAGATTACAAAAGCCCCTCGGCCTCACCTTTCCTCCTTCCCCCCCCTCAACTCCATTTCTCTTTCTCTTTGGCTTCCCAAAAAAGCTCTCTCCATTGTTTTCTTTGCTTCCCTTTCGGATCGAATCAATGTGGCTAACTCGAACCAACCCAAATCTAAGGCTTCCTGCTAATTTCTCCTTCAAAGACATCCACGCCCTATTCGCCGACGACCCGACCCGCCTGAATCACCCGCCCCACTTCACCAACCGCTGCATCTTTCACCGGTCCCGCAGCGCCAGCGCCTCCCTCCGCGCCCTGTCGCCTCCGCCCGAACCGGCACCCGCTTCTCAGCCGGAGCCGCCGATCTCCCTCCCCGGATCCGAGAGGCTGATCGTGGTCTACTCCACCAGCCTCCGCGTGGTCCGCCGGACCTTCGACGACTGCAGGGATGTCATGTCGATCCTGAGAAGCTACCGCGTCTCGATTGACGAGCGAGATCTGTCCGCGGACGCCAGGCTCGTGGAGGAGCTGCAGGGGGTTCTAGGTGGAAAGACGAAACTGACCTTGCCGCAGGTATTCATCGGTGGGAGGTACATTGGCGGCGCGGCGGAGATCAAACAGCTTCACGAGGCCGGAGAGCTCAAGAAGTGCGTGGAAGCTGTATCTTTAGGGTTTAGTCTCAATATTTTTTAAAAAAATCTTATCCAACTCTAACTTTTTTTTTTAATATTAGTACTTTTTTAATGCAATATTGTTGTATATTTAAGGTTAAAATGTACAAGTATTATTAAACTGGTGGCGTTATATTGCCACTCACTTTGAATATTAACGTATAACATTGGCTAATAGTTGTTAGTTGCTAGTTGTATAAGATTATATATATAACATGTTACAATTTTTTTTAAGATAAATCCAATTAAACTATTTTGTAATAGTATATTCTCTATCTTCCAAAACTAAAGCTCAATTACTATTTTAAACTTTCATAACTCTTGTTTTTTAATTAATTTTTATTGGTCATTTAATAAAATAAAACAATCGTATCACCACTTAGTTTATAGAGTTTCTTTATGTAATTTTTAAATATGTAAATTATATTTTGTAATTTTATACCAATTTTTATAAATTTATATATTACATAATTTTAGTTTTAGAGGTTTTAATCACATTTGGATGTCGAGCTGTTTCGAATCTTTATAGTATACATCCGAACGTATGATATTTTTAATACATCCGAGTGGTTACTCTTTTTGAATAATTAAATACTCTTTTTGAACATTTATTTAATTTAGTATGTATTTAAAATATGTACATTACAAAATATATGCACGTTCATTTGAAAAGTAAATCATACTCATTACGTTTATACAAAACGTACATTTAAGGTAATATAATACTTATTTCAACCAAAATAAAGATGAATATGCAATGAATATAAAAAAAATATGTGAAATGAGTATTATGTTACTTGTAGTTGAGTACTCGGCCGGATGTACGAAAAACACCATACATCCGGCGGTACCATATATATTACATGTTGTCTCTACAATAAGATTGAAACATTTTAATTTTTTTTCATTTTGCGGAATGTGCATGATGTTTTATGACAGATAAAATATATTACTCCTTTCGTCCGATATAAATCTTTCAAGTACGTGTTACTAGTCTTCACCGACTTTATTTTCAATTTAATTCTTTGATTGCAATTTGCAAGTATAAAATTTAAAATAACATTAAAACAACAAAATAAAAAGTCCACAAAATAAGAAATGCCAAAACTTTTTTTAAAGAAAATATAAATTTAGTGGAAGAGAAAATAAATTCGAAGAGTGAGCTCAACCTACTCTCATAAGTTCTCAAAAAGATAAAAACTCACCGGTGGATGTTGCGTAGTTAACAAAAGTACACTAAAGAGTCCAATATGATATGATTGGACTCGGGCACCCAATCTCAATCCGCTCATACCTCACATCAATGGGGGAAAAGCGTGAGACACGTGACGATGTTGTATTCATCAAACTCTCTCTTTTGCTCAAAAGCCCACACTATCTTCTGTCCATAATACTCTCTTTTCCACATGCAATGCTTCATTTGGGAAAGCATAAAATAAAAGAGAATGTGCGCAATACAAGAAACTCAACCTTAGCAGTCTTCCAAACATGCCTTAATCCAAGCCATCCAACGGGCTTCAAAAATTTCAATACACCTCCCTATTTTTATTACAAATTGCCTAAAACAAAAGTAAAATAAGTATTTTTTTTAAATTTACATTATTTAAAGATTGAAATATAAATAAAAAAACTTATATACTTAAAAACTACATTAAAAGTTTTACAAAATCAAGAAATGATAAAATATTTATTTTTATCAAATAATCAATGAAAATAGACAAGTAAACAAAAGTTATCATCATGATTGAGAGACAGGGAGAGTATTTTTTAACTCCTCACTAGGAGTGGACACGATACGGTTCTGGGACGGTTCCGGTTTCGGAACCGCCGGTTCCGGTACCGCCACCCCTTGGTACCGGTACCGGTACCGGATCGGCCGGTACCGGTTCCGGTTCCGGTACCGTTTCGGCCACCCATAATTTCTTTTTTTTTTGCTTTTTTGTTAAATTTTTAAAGTGTAGAATTGTAAATGTGTAATTGTTAAAAGAAAGGATGAAATAAAAAACTCTAAAAATGAAATTAATAAAGGAAAGAATGAAATAAAAAATAAAAATAAAAAAAAATTAATTACGGTACCGGAACCGGAACAGGTACCGCCGGTGCCGGTACCGAAAAATGGGCACCGGAACCGGTATCGGTACCGGTTCCCGGAACCGGTGGACCGTCCCGGCCGACGGTAACGGTACCGGTACCGGCGGTACCGTTTCCGGTCACGGTACCATACCGGTACCGTGTCCACCCCTACTCCTCACGTTGCATGTGTCATGATTAAGGTTAATCAAGTCTCTCCTCACGCCCCATAGTACAAACTAAACATCTTTTCACTCCGTCTCAAGAAAAGACATGTTGAAAAATAAAATTGTATGACTATAATTTATTTAAGAAAAATGCTAGCGGTATACCAAAGGTGTACCCCATTTGTCCCACACCCCCTCCATCACCACAAAAAAATGCAAGAAAATAAAAAAAATTAAACAAATAAAAATAAAAAAAATTTTATGATGGAAAAATGGGTGGGGGACAAATGGGGTACACCAAATGGTGTACCCCTAGCATTCCTCTTTATTTAAACGAGAGAATTTTTTTGTGAACCATAATTCACAATCCACATGCCATCTTCTACTTAATTTTCCTTCAATTCTTCACATTCGATATTCTAAGTACTACACTTTGGACTCTAAAATTTACTATTCCTCTGCCCCAATTTAAATTGCATGGTTGTCTTTTTTTCGTCCCAAAAGTTGCATGTTAGTTGTCATCGTAAACTTTTAAAAATAAAATACCTAAATTATCCCTAAAATAAGTCACCTTTTTTTACCTTATATTTCGAAAAATCAGCTCTACTTTTTCTTTTTTTTTTTAAATATGCCCAAAAGTCAAAACATGTGATTTAAAATGGGACAGAGAGAGTACTACTTATTAGAGGTGTATCAAACTCAAGGTTCCCATATCTACTCTTCAAGCACGGGTTGCTATCTACGAACTCCAGACTTTAATTGGGTTGGAGCATAATTTTTCTTCGGCCCGACCTCTCATCTGGAGTCTGGGCTGTCCCATTTTATTCCGTGTGTGTCCCAATTGAGTCAGTGTCTTCAGAGGCCACTCATTTTATATTCCTTTTTTGACTCCAAAATCAATTACACTTGCATCCCGCAATTAACGTAGATGGAATGAGATCAAGACTTGGTGGGAGAGTTTTTTGGGAGGGCGGCAATTTTACGAATGATATACCGTAAATGACCCAAGTGAATCTATCAATATCCTCTGAGACCACTCAAAAGCAGCGTTTTTAACCCCGGATCGGATCGGGCGGTCCGACTGGTCGAACCGCGACCCGGACACACAACCGGTCCGGTCCAACCCCCCAAAAACCTAGAAAAAACTGAGTCGACTCGGAAAAACCCAAGACCTGTCCTCTCCACCGGGTCGACCTCCGGTCCGGGTTTTATATCATTGCTCAAAAGGAGTGGCCATTGAACTTAGCCAGAAAAACATACGGAGTAATGCACAATGAAGCAGTGAAGCACCAAAAGAAAAAGAAATTGCGAATGAGAGAGAGTAAAGTGTAACGCACATTGTTATTATAATACAGTATACACATATGGGACATGTACATATCACAATTCATCACCCACAAAGTTTCTTTTGGCAGACAGCATTAATGTCACTCGTGTACACAATATTACATTAATTTTTTTTTTCTTAAAAAAAAATGAAGTAATTTAGCTTCTTCCCATGCAACGCCTTGACTTGATTGACCAAACCCAAAGTTTCCCCATCGCCAGAATCCGGCGGGCAGCCTGCCGGTATTATGTACATGCGTCGTCGTCGTCTTCTTCTCTACCTCCCCATCGAAATCCTCCAAGGGTAGGGCCCGTCTTTTTCCGTGCGCCCACCCCACGGCTGCAGCAGTGTGATGACCTAACTTTCAATCTGCTGCCTAGGTGTCGGGTTTGTTGTCTAGGGTGCGATGGTAGAGGTCGAGGGTGTCTTTGTGGGTGGGGTCCAAGCAGAGTGCCGCCTCGCAATCTCTGAGAGCCGAGCCGTAGTCATTCATCGACTCGTGGAATGCCGCTCTCAGGTGGAGCATTTGCAGGTCTGGTTTGAACGATATGGCCCTCGTTAGCTCCTCCACTGCTTCCGTTTCCATTTGGTCGTCCATTAGCACTGCTCGATCCATTCCCCAAAATACCATTAGAAATTATTAAAGAACCAACTCAACCAAAATCTCAAGCTAATGGTTGTTGTCCAGGAAAGGTTTTTATATTCTAACATGCCCCCTCGCGTGCACGTGCAGACGAGATTTATTATTGCTCGAGCATTGCACGTGAACATTAATTTTTTTCAAAACTAGGTGTCGCTGAGTTTCGAACTCGCAACCTCTTAGTCAACGAGGCTCTGATAGATTGATATTGTGCCAAACAACCAACTCAACCAAAAGCTCAAGCTTATGGTTGTGGTCCAGGAAAAGTTTTTATATTCTAACAAAAATCATTGAAAATACGGAAGACGGCTCGGAAAAGGTGCCATTTGTACATGCAATGGGGATTGTAAGGGATTCTCAATTAAATATGAAATGACCTCAAAGAGGTGGTGCTCCCCAAGAATTGAATCATTCTTACCGATACCCACTTTCGAAAAAATAAAAAATTAAAAAAGACCTCGTATGCATATGAGGGGGTGTGTTAAGAGTATAAAATTAGTGAAGAGAAAGTACCTGCCGCCCGGTATCTGTAGGGATACGTCCTTAACGGATCCAGTTGAGTCACCATGCTGAGGTCATTATTTGCCACGTCACGGTCACAATATTCGGACCGTTTCTCATAAGCGGAAGCATTGCTTTGGGCCTTCTCTATAAGCTCTGTCATTTCAGCATAAGCCGCCTTCTTATCCTGTTTCAGATAATAAACGCGCGCCAATCCTCGATGCGCCCTCGTATGTTTGATCTCCAAGGCGCTTGAATAACAATGCTCTGCCTGATCCAGTTTCCCACAATCCACATAGATACTCCCCAGATTATTCAGTGCCTGTCATCACAACACAAACATGAATGAACTAATTTTTTTTGCACGGATTAAGTGTTCCTATACCCAAATTGAGGGGGGAGTTGTGTTGTAGGACATACTTGTCCCTTGCGAAGGCCATCCGATGGGCATCTAAGTGCCTCCTCTAAGAGGTCAATAACGTAGGATGAAGATTCGGAGTCCAAAGTTGTATCGGCTAGGACATATGCCTTAAGAAAGAAGGCTTCAAATGATCTTTGG